CCTATGCGAAAACTTTTCAGATATCGTCTCCTTCTTTCCCATATTTCCGGATGCATATAGAACGGTACTCGAGCAAATTGTAACACCGCGCCGGTGCACGGGTCAGGGAATCAATGTACGTATTTACGAGCACCTCTCGTTCGGAGCATCCCGAATATGCCGGACCGGGAATATTCGAGATAGCCGTGTCCCGCATTGCAGACTTCTTTTTCTTCTTCTTTCGTTTTCCGAAGAGCTTGTTCACGGAAGACCATCGCAAATATCTGGATTGCCGGAATCTGGATCGCAGCCGGACTGTATCCTTTCAGCGTTCGGTCAAATACTTTAAGGGGTCGTAATAAGAGCGGAGCCCGGGTCAGAAATGAATCCAAAGTTTCACGAAGCGAAATGGTGTTTAGGTTTCCTGTCAGATAATAATCTGATTAACGTTGTTGCGTTCTAACGCGGCAACAGCCTCCTATTATTTAGCCAGTCACGTCTTCGTTGGGGGATAAGTGAGGATGAACGTGATCATCCCTTAATTTCGCTCGCCGGAATTATTCTCTAGTGTACCTTGACGTACGCTTCAATTTCGGGGGACACGTATTGAAGGTGTCGCAGATACCTATGCGTCTGGCGAGCAGGTAATTTCACCTTGAAGGTAACTAGTCTCTCCTGGCTCCTTTGTTTCGGACGTGAAAATCTTCGCCTCGCTAACGGCGTACTTGAAACGGTGAGAATAAAACGGAGGCGAGAACGAACGACGTCTAAGCGAAGTTTACCGGGGAAATTAGGTCTACCGTGTGGCCATTGTGAGAGCACAGGGGGCGGAGGGGAACGGAAAATCGTGTCGCCGGAATGGCACAGTTAATTTTCTCGGGCAAAAATTAGTTCAGGTCTCAAAGGGTTGGGGACCGCTGCGAAAGTTCGCGCCGAGTTCTTGCGAAATAAGTGAGGCCAAAGTACGTGACAAGTTAGAGTCATGTGTTAAAGTGCATTAGAGCAGATAGTAGAATATATTCATTTTTGTATTTAAATGATTAATAAATTTTTGTAATAAAACGTCCAATTGTTATAAAAATATTGAAAGAATTGTTGCGTTCGTAAAAATTATTAAATGGTTTAATCATCTGAGTGAAATAAAAATGAAAAGGAATCAGAGAGGTAATAGAATGTTTCGTACGTTTCGTTCTTGTTTTAAAAAAAAAATAATTCTCGTCATGCTAGCGTAGCTCCTACTTTAATTCACTCATAGGAGAATGAAATGTTTCTCTGCACTCGCATAAATGTACCTAGTCGGATTAAGTAAATAAAACAAAACCATCGCGGGCACATATGTCACACTGAAATAAGAGGGTTAATGCTCTCGCTCGTTGTTTTGAATAGACACACACGTTTACGGGAAATAGAGGGGCCGGGGACGCATATATTCGTCACGTCGTCGACACGATGAGAGACGTGGAATTAAAAAATTTTTAATTGCAACGGTAAGCCGAGGCGCTCGTCCCGCTCCGCTAATTATAGTCCAAGAAATTACGGGGCATTAAGTGAAGGGCGAGGTCGTGAATCTCGTTTCCCGGACGGACAACAATGCCGCCGTTCTCTGCGAACGTTTATTGTTCGTACGCTGGAATCGGATTTCCGAATATAACGCGAAAAATAAGCTGCGTGGTTTCCGCTATTCCGATAGACGCCACGATGAAAGTTATCAGATTCGATGAATGCATACTCGGAAAGCCCTCCACGTCGAGAGCGGTATTCCAGACTGGGCTTGAGCCACCGTATCTTTCTCTTTCGTTTCACAGTGAATATCTCGGGCATTCAAAAGGGTTCAGCCACCGTGGAATCTCTTCATAATGTATGATAATGTTGTCTTTTTGCATATTCCGCTCGGCCGTTAATTCCTCCCGCCTTTGTTACCTGGGAACCGTTTCATTCCATCCTCCATTTCTGGTACCGCGTTCGACTGAGTATCGGTAAAATATTTGCGCTCATTCGCACACCTATTAGTCGCAATGACAATTTGTCGTAAAATGGGATTCATTGCTAATTAACGAGCATTTCATTGAGAATCGTATCCCGTCTTTGGACAAGGACCGAAGTACGTGTACTTAGGTGCAACGGGCTAGCCGGACAATCAACAGATTTTGCGGAAATTCGTAAGCAATCAGTGGCTGCAATGTCTCAGACGCGACGAACGGTATTCAAATTGTCGCAGCGCAAATTTCCGGTTGAAATGTTTGCTTTCCCAAACTGCCATGGGCGACGAACGAAACTTCCTTCTCTGGGAGATTCTCCTCGCGCGTCGCCGTATTCTGTCCAGGAATGGCATTTCTGGCATGCGAGCCGCTGAAAAGGACGTTCGCCCGTAAACGCGTCTCCCCGTGTCTTCCAGCAAAATTCGTTTCCGGTTTCCTCGCTGATAAATCGCGAAGGACGCGATCATGGACGGCGGCCATTCCCCCGTCCCGCCACGGCGATTCTCTCAAAAAGCTGCGATACGAGCAGCGTTTTCATCATCCGATGGAACTTTTCTGCGGGCTCGTCGCATCATATCGGGATTAATTAGCCAAGCTCCACTGCCGTCATCGAGTGGAAAATTTTGAAAGCCACCTTTGAATTAATTTCGAACGACGTTTCGCAATTTTCGCTGATGCTTCAAAGAGCATTAAAATTTCATGTTACGTTGAAAGCACAGCAACGCCAGAAATCCACTTTTGGTCATTCATAAAGGAGGATAACGCATAAACAGCTGAATGCTTAGCTCGGGTCGGTCTACGAAGAGAAGCGAGTTGCGTTCCTGTTATAAGCGTAATTGCTGTGTATCCTGATGGTTATCTCTTCGGATTATACGCGCCTGTATGACATTTCGTTGTGACGTGGGCGAATTAATTTCGCTGACAAATATTTGAGTCGAGAGAACTAATAATCCTCCGGACCAGTTGCTTTCGTTAATTGCCATCCTTCAATCAGTCAGTTTCCCAAATGGACTCAATGTCATATGAGAAAATCCATTCTTCTCAATCAACTCTTTTTTATGATACACGTAATTACACACCGGTCCCTTTTTTAATTAAGAAATGAAATCATCACTTTAGCAGAATTATACCGTCGCATGCATGTTGCATCGCTTTCTTGCACCGTTTCGCTTGTCGTTGAGCTTTGCCTTCAGTTGTTTATCGGATGTAGGGCTTACCTACCTTGGTTCGCGATGGATTACTTTTTTAACGGAATATGTACTTTGGAGCGAGTTTTTAACAGTAGCGGACGCGACAGTGGGACTCTTTAATCCCGGTCGGACCCGCGTGTCGTGGCACGGTTAACAACCGGTCATAATTCACGGAAGAATTTTCCGCGTAAATAATAGTCCGCGTTAAAGCTCCTCCGTTGTTTATAAAACATTCTGCATACATTACGGCCGGGATATTTCGTTCTGTTAAAAAACGGAAGGAAGGAAGTAAGCACGCCGACGGCCCGTCCCTCCCCGTACACGCCGTGTACACTGCCGCCCCACGTGCGAGCCGGTGCGCTAATAAAATTGAAATTTATACTTTCTGTTCATTTCTTGTTCGCGCAACGTGTAATGGCTGCCGGCCGGTGCAGCGCGGCGGCCGGTTGTTTTTGACACCGGGCGTAACGAATTTAATTATTTTTATCGCGGCCAGCCAATTTAATCCTCTACCGCAACGGCCCGGTGAAGTCGCACGCTGGTCGCGCCGTATTTTCATTATGCACGGCTTTTAACTTGCCCGAACTCGTCAAACACCTGGCAACGGAACTAATTTATTCCACATGAAACTCGTTTTCAAACGAAATAGGACGTCGCAGTGATTCAATTAATGATTACGCATGAATCAACAATGGAGAAGTTTAAAGCAGGATAAGAGCTGCATAAATAGATTACATATATGTATAGTGCTTTTGGCAAAACGGTTTGACGAACTCGCCCTTTTATGAGTCGAGTTCTTATTTCGTTTCAGGCACTCTATACAAATAAATGCCTCGACTGTTGAAATCGGTAAAGGAGATCGCGTTTGCCGTCCGATAAGCAAATATCAACGTACGGCATGCAATTTTCGTTTTCGCAGACCGTTTCATAACGACGCGGCACGTACGTTTCACTTTTCCTCGAGTTCAAGCTTCCGCGTGCAACGCGACGCGACGGGGGTCGCACGCGTTTTCACGGCACGCCGGTAACGCCCAGAACGTGACGCCGGAATTCTCTCTGGGGGCTCGTTCACCTCTGAATTCCTACGCGAGTATACATATATACATATACGCATCGTGGAGTGTGATACTCCTTTTTGTAGTTAGTTAACAGACGGAAAATTATCGTCAACTGGCTACATTGTTAAAGTTATCGCACTAATTATAATTCACGAGATACGGACTTATAGTAATCGCGGTTTTCAATGCACCTGAGATAGCAATATTATCTAGACGCGCTAAATATATGACGTATTATAGTTAGGACAGCTATTCGAAAAAACGCGACGCTTCATATGCGCTGAGCTAATAGCCTCGACATTTGCGTCCTGCTCGTTGCAAATGCACATCGCCACAAGGAAACTCATTGTCAGCGAAACAGTTTCGACTCGAGCTGTCCTTTCATTTTACCCGATTCAACGGAGCGAACGCGCTTTTCCCATTTTCCTACGCGCCGTTCCCTCATTTGCATCGGCGAGTTGCCCGTTGCACTTCTCCGCGCGTATTTTCTTTCCACCGCGTAGATCAAACAAGCTTGCCTCAATCAAGTTTGCCTATTTATTTGTCGCGTTTCGTGCGGACGGAAAATTAGCTTCTAATCAAAACGTTTGCCGAAGAAACGGGCGGATCGTTTCACTTTGTCAATCACCTCGAACCTCGTCGTATCTTACGCCGAGTACACGTGTATCGGGTTTCAATCAAGCGTCTACCGACGATCACCTACCTGCGTGTACTGGTGTCTTATCAAAGATCAATAATCCAACGTTTAATCTGACACGGAATTGGAACAAGCTCGCGTAACTACTTTCCTAAGTATTCAGATTTATTATCGGAATTCCTCTAAGAACAGTTACAATTCCATGTATATCCTTCATTTAGGCGTGCCGGGGGTTTCGATGTTCAAGATCTTCGGTTGAATCTTCAAATGTTTCGCGGGAAGTTGCTCCGTAGATGGTCGAAGTGTTTCGTGACACGCGCTCGTACCCAAGAACGGAATCAGCAGTTCGATGGGCAACGGGAAGATGATAGTAGAATTCTTCTCGGCAGATATACTACTCAGAGTTTGCAGATAACGTAACTACGATCACACATCGAATAATTAATTTTATTATCCTAAACTCTGAGCTGTTAATGGCAATGGTGATAGATTGTGGATTTCTAGAAGACGCACATTGATGTGCATAAAGTATGGAGATTACGTGTAATGCATAAAAATTTATAGAATAACAAAAGTAATTTTAAAAGCAAGGAATATGATGGAAAGGGTGAAAATGTACAGTTTAGAAGAATATAAATATGCGAACACTATTTCACATTTCTAAATAAGAATTCGCAATATAATAATATATCAAGCTTGAAATGCAGTTATCAATGATAAAGGCGTTCACGCATTTTGCATCTACAGCGAATGTTTTCGAATTCGTGTGTCCGACGTAAAGAGAAAATTTAATTAAACCAGACAAGGTAATTAATAAAGAGAGTGCTACGTTGTGAGAAAGGAACAGGCTATGCGGTTGGTCGACGTATGGTTTAATGCAAGTACAAAGATATCTTTGAGGTTCACGAAGAAGCGTTACCTGAAGAGCAGCCGGACTCATGGAAATGACGTCGCTGGCCTCTTTCAACGCTCGGGATGCCAACATTTCTCCTTCCGCTGCAATCACTTTGGCCCGAGCCTCCCTTGTGGCTTCTGCTTCTGTGGCCATGGCTCGTTGCAGCTGCACCGGAAGTCGAACGTCCTTTCTGAATCAGGAACATCCGGTACCGTTACGTTTCATCAGGTCCGTGTGTCTACCTGTCCGCGCGCTATGCCAGTTACAAATCATTTCATGGAACGCGTCAGCTTATTTCTATTAGAAGTCTATTGTATCGATTAATCTGTAAAGCACATTGTACTATTTCGATTAATCGATGTATAAAGCAGATTTAGTGATAACATCTGATGTTCTTAAGGATGTATAGGCTATATGTATACTTAAACAATGCTAGCATGTTAAATTTGTTATTATAGATTCCTATTATTATTAAAAAGCTAGAATTATAGTGATTTCAAATTTTTCATANATAACAAATTCTATCAATTTTTATTGTTTAAAAACCAATTGAACGTTAACAAGTAATCTCTTTTCATCCAAAATCATTGTTCCTTCGTCGTCTGATTTCTTTTTGATTATAGAAAATGCGTTTTTTTAAGGTACATAATCTTTTGGGATTGACTGTATAGCCAATGCATCCTTAAATTCAAACAGGAAACTGCTACATCGTTATTTTGACAAATAATCTATTCTGCATTTCATTATTTCTTGTTTCATATATTTTTCACTCTACGATGAACCCGTCTTTCAAGAAGGAATCGTTCTCAGTTCGGATGATCAAACAGTTGAATGAATTCGAATTAGTAAGTATCTGAACGAAGAAGTACGAAGATGGGAGAAAGGATGGACGCGTTAATCCCCGCGATATCGTTTAAATTGCAACTGCGCGGGATCCGGAATCCAGAAGTAGAGAAATTCGAGAATTTTACATCGTTAAACCTTTCCTTAATAGGGAAAGTTAAATCCGTTCGCATTCGGCCCGTTCGTTAGCCGGAGCAATAATAATTTTACCTAGCGGGGCCTTAAATTTTCGCGTTGGTAAAGGATTGACGCCCCGGGCAGTTTCGAAATTTCAAATTATCGTTGCTGTTTGTACACCGATACTCCACGCCGAGTTGCACTGCGTTTTCCTCCGTTTTGTGTATCGCTGGTCTGCCGGATAACAATGACACAACTGTTCGTCGTTAGCAAATTATCGATTTACGAAGGTCAACATGTTCTTCTAAAATTGATAATGTTTCGCTGTATTAATTTACGATACTCTGGAATCGATTGTGCATAGAACAACATAGAATAACGTGTTTTGTTTGACCAATATAAGCTTATACATTATTGAATCATTAAAGTATCTAGTCATAAAGTATACAAGCTGTTTCTGTAATTTAACTGCAAACTGGGACAACTCGTCAATAAATATGCAGATGACAAAGAGGAATGTAAATGGCTTGCAATCCTTGTGTTCTTATAATTCTTTTACAAAGGGTGGAAGCTGTTCTCTGTAGTCAGTGCGCGACGAGTTTCCTATGCAAAGAAGGGTGCGTAGTTACGTGAACATGCATAAATGAAGAGGTTCTTTACTCTCATAACGCAGGCTTCCAAACACAAGAGATATTCTACTACATATGTATGTACGTACGTATCACAGAGCAAGATTTGGCAAATTTTACTTTAAATAACTAAAGATTTAACATCAACCGTAATGGTTTTATCTCGTCGTGTATAAATTTGTCAGCCAGATTAATTTGCATATTTTCTCGGGGTTTTTGAACAATTCCATGCGAAACTTCACGAGCTGTGCAAGAATCGTGAGCGTTTTTCGTATTTTTACTATTCACCCGCTCTAATATAGGCGCAAGAATTGTTGGCGGTACGCATTCTAAATGATCGAAGGGAGTAACGTCGGACGTCTATTTATGCTGCCGTCAACTGTACAGCGGAATGGGAAAGTGCATTTTGGCAGCGCACATACGCCATATAAAATATCGTCACGGTCCCCGTATATTCGGGTTAGCGTTTCGCGACGGTATCTTGTTGTTTTAAAAATGGTGGTCGTCATGGCGAATATGGAAAAACATAAGAAGTAGCCAAAGTGCATTTTTATTCTGCGACTGTCGTCTGTGAGCCTAAGAAACGACGTAAAACCGCCGTTCTAAATTCATATTGATGGACAAAACGAAGTTTGCATCGCAGAGTACAACTTCAAGTTTACAGTCCGCATTTTTTCACGTTCTCTCTTGTCCGGCTTTCGAATAATAATAAAGATAGGAATCGATAAAGTTACTGGATCTACTTTCGTATTCTGGCAAATTCAAGTTTGAACAGCAGCTTTCTTTCTGTTTAAACTATCAATGAAAATATATTCGCGACGCAGTCCGGTTGAACATCTGCCACATTTGAAACACTTCCAAGTACACTTTCGAACGAGCTTCGATATCGTCCTCGTCTCGGCGATCGTTACGTTACGGGAAACGGTAGACTTAAAAGACGATTCGAAACGATTCCAACTCGATCGAGCTTCTGAGCCAGTTCTCTTTGATTATGGCGTACAGAGGACAGAGGATTACGGATATTTTCGCAATATTCTAAGCGATATCAACACAAGGCCATTGTACAAGTCGAATGATTCCATTGAAGGCTGTCGATGCACGCGTCTCGATCGATGCCATACATCACCGGCGCCCGTGGATCGCGCAAGCTCAATGGACCGCGATACACTTTCGCCTCCGCACGTAACCGCGACGCGACGATGATAAGCTCTCCTTTCCGCGCGCGACGAACGATATTTATCGCCGGCTTATACATCAACCATTCAATTCGCTGGTCCCTTGCGATGATCGATCGTTACGCCATTCTTCTTCACGCCGGTTGACTTTCGATTGTATTTAACCCGATTTTTATGCCCGCTCGGCTATTCTTCATTCGAACGCTGCTATCTTCGTAAACGCGAATCGTGTCTCGTTGAACGTCGACGTGACGGATGACCGAACGCTTATTTGAAAACTTCGATAAACTATTATTCACATGTTATTGATGAAGAAACTATTCACGTTACAATTCTTCGAATGATAAATGATTTTAAGAATCTAATAATGGTTTTCTCGAAAATGTTTAGTTCTATAGATTGGGGGAAAGTTTCGATAAACTAAAATGTGTCGCCAATGAGAATAACTTCACGCAATGCGTTACTTCGCGTTGAAAGGAAGACAGATTTCGAGGGTGATTTTGTCAGTACTTACATTTCAACGCGTTCAACCTTGACGCCCCAAGGGTCTGTGGCCTCATCTAGGGACGTTTGCATAGTGTGCGAGATATTTTCACGTTCGGAAAGAACTTCGGCCAAATTTCTCGTTCCCAACACAGTTCTCAACGTACTGGCGGCCAGCAATCGCGTAGAATGACTGAAACAACAAGAATTCGCGTGCACTCGATAAACATCAGAATTTTACTCCATACGGCTTTGTGTAAACCTTGTTCCGTATGAAATCTAGGTGTAGAAAATTGGCACGTTTTATAATAATTAGTAGCAGGTAGAATTTTGTCAAATTGCGTGTCGGCAAGCCATAAATGCGCATACAAATTTAATTATATATTTAAGTCGTCGTCATCTTTGTCATAACTGAACATCGGTTGGGTGAGGTCCAGTTAATTAAACGTCGGCCGACTGTCAGGTGGGTGGTTTAAAAATTTGCTAATGTAGACGGGAACGTGGCGTTGGTCAGCGCAGAAACCGCTGATGAATCCGATTTTTATGAAAACATTTTTATCCTCCGGTATCTGGTTCCCATTTATGAATGAAATTAGTTTCAAATTCTCTTGTAGACTCAATTGCTATCATTTTTGCGTTGCTTAACCAGAGTTCAAGATGTGCATTTCAATAATAATAAGCAGTCATCAGAAATATATCAGAAATATATTTTTAACATATTCAATGTGTTAGTGAAAGAGTTGTTAAAAATAAGTATGATTCTTAAATTGAAAAGCTATAGAGATCGATCTAATTATCAAGATTATCACGCGAGTGTGTGTAACACATACAACTCTTATGTAATTAATCAGACCAGGCGGCCTAAGTAATTTTTTACGCTCTCGCGAATTCCTCGAGTGGTCATCTCTTGAATTTTCTTTCGATCCATCATCGTCCATTGGGTGATTCTCGAGGAATCTCGTGCACCCTCATTCGTGCCGATGATGTGCACTAATTAAAATTTTAGAAAACTGTATCTACGTTAATTAACCCGGTTGCTCAAAGAATTCTACGTAATTTTCAAAAATTTGTTCGTAAATCTCGGCATTAGCCCAAAGGACTTGCGTTTTTTGGTCTCAGTCGGAAAATATATGGAGGGAATAATTTTTGTTTAATTATAAAATCTCCATAAAGTTGGAGTCTAGTTTAGGTTTCCACTTTTCAGCATTAATTTGGACCGACTCGCGTTACTTGTCACGGACATCGGGGAAAATGTTAACGACGTAAAGAAGTGGTAGACGGGTGATCATTTAATAGCTAATTTTGTACGCGGAAATTTTCGGTGGAAATTCACGTCCGAGCGGTCTTCCATCCAAACGAACTTTCAATCCGGCGGGACGGCGCCACGGAAAAAATTGCTTGACGATGTCGCGTCTCCTACTGGCGCATCATTTCTCGCGTCTCGACTAAAAAACGTCGCCAGTCATTTCCGTCCCTCTTCTCTCCATTTCTGTCCTGCTTTTAATTATCTCCCTTATAATAGTAAATCATGGTAGCTCTCCTTGCTAAATAATTATATTATCTATCTATGACCTATAGTATTTCGTTCTCAATTTATACGGTACATCGTCAACAATTTGCAAATTCATTTTTATGTAATAATAATAATAATAACCGTGAATAGTAATAAACGTAATAAATGAGGAACGTTGGAACCGGTTTCATGTACATAGTTACGAATCTGCCGTTTGGTGAATTAACGCAGGACGACTCGTAAACCCGCAATATACATACCTCCGAGTCGCAGTTTGATTCAGTCAATGGGAACTATGCGATACGCGTACCAACCTGTAATTGGCTATCTTGACGACAGCATTCAGCGGCTCCTTTATGCGGTAATAGACGACAGCGTCGACACTAACGGTTACGGAATCCTTGGTGAGCACTTCCTGGGGCGGCACGTCGAACGAGACCGTGCGCAGGTCGACCCGTACGCAATTATCCACGCACGGCATCAGGAAGAACGTACCTGGTCCAAATGCGTAACGTAGGCTTCGTTTACTGTACATGCAGCGAATGTTTATCCATCTTTTTACGTGCATACAAATACAATTACCATTGCTTTGTTTCAATCACGTGCGTTCGAGCACATTATTCGAGCGCGAGTTAAACGCGTAATTATAGGCGAGTACTGGCATTCGTATTTGGAAATATTGATTGACACTATTCAGTCGGATACGAGAATGGGTTTTTAAGTGTGTAGAGAGTTCATATTCGTCAGATGAGTTAATAAACGTTTATTTCAAATGATATTTCCCATTAATTGTGTATTGTCAGTGAATGGTACTATGTTTTTTATATTGAAATGACAAATAGAAGAGTCTGAGCGTTTGTATACGAGTCGGTTGTACATGACAAAAAAGCATGAATATTCCCGTGCTGTCGCGAAACGAAATTAGGTTTTCACCTGGTCCGTAAGCGTCGCCCTTTAGCCTGCCCATTCTGAACACGACGGCCCTCTCGTATTCCTGGACGACCTTGAACGTGAAGCACAACGAGAAGGGTAGCGTAACGAGGACCAGCAAAAACGAGCCGACGGTCGCGACCATCTCGACGAATCTCGTCATCGCGCCGACCTTGTTTCCGTCGACGACCATCCCCGGCAACGTGGCCTCCTCTATTTTCCCAACAAACAGAAGAAAAAGGAAAAGAAAACAAGAAGCACCGCTTCGTCTCGTCTCGCGCCGCGTCGCCCACGTTCAAGGGAAATATTTTCGTAGCGAGCGCTCGGAAGCGGAATCGCTTTTCCTTCCTTTTTCCTTTTATCCCCGTACACTCCCCCTCGTAAGTCTTAAATAGATCACATTTCTGTTTACCGCTACGCTATTAGTAGAAGTAGAGGGTTGAAATTCAGAAAGAGGATTTGCTTTCTCTAAAATCTAAATCTAAATCTGTTTGTATCACTTGTCAACTTTGTCCGAAGTTATGAGTACGGTTGAACCCGTTCCGGGTGCATCGACCGAATAATTAATGGCCACTTGATCGGAGTGATTTGTCGTTGGTTATACGGTCGACGATTCTCTCTACGGTTTGGACGCGGGCTCCTTTTCGGTGGTAACGCGAGCAAAAGCAATCATGCAAAGGCCTCTCTGGCTAGCGACGTCGAGCGACGATCGTCCTCGGTAAATTGCGCGTGAAATGGAACGGCTGCCAGAAAAGTAATTCGTCCCCCTTACACCCGTCCAACGGGCTCTTTCTCATTAATTTCATCACACCCATTCCGCGTTCCCTTCATCTCCCCGATCACTTCAAAATTCACCGCTACTACCCATCTACGAACTGCAACGGGCCTTGTGTACCGTTCAACTATTTCACCCTCGAGCGCACTTCATGTTTTTGTTACGATGTAAAATCATATTGGATAATATTTGAAAACTTTGTATTATTTAATAAATCACGTTGGTCCTGAAAAGGTTAAACATGTGTGAATTCTGCTCGCTATAACGTGTATAATCTGTTGGTTTTAACTCATTCCAACCTGTTATCTATTAATAAAAAACGATTAGCTCTCAAGGGGACGAAAGCTGATAAAGGACAATTATACAAAATTCATTGAATGTTAAAAATAACAATTCCGATGGCTCGACGTTTGCTATTGAAATCAGAGCGCGTTCTATTTCCCGATCTGAAAATATTTTCCTCCGTAGATTTATCGGGATTACATTATGCATAAAGAAGAATATCATTCTCGACCAGTGGATTAATCGTTCGATTGGAGTGTCGGTGAACGATTCCAATTTATTCTTCGGCCAGTGGAAAATTCCAGCTGTCGCAGGTAGCTACACGCGAAAAGGGAACAAAAGAGCGGAGCGGAAAACAGAGTTTCATTTTTTCCGGTGTCCCGGCTTTCGTCCCCTTTCTTCTGCGTCCCGCGCGACGGGCATCAGAGAGAGATAGTAACTATCGAGTAACGTGTCTCACTGAACTCAACGAAGCACTCGACTCCACCGCTGTCGGTTTTCGCGCATCCGTAGCGTACCATAACGCGACAGATTCATCCGCCCTCCCCTTCGTTTCCCTTTTTTGTTTCTCCCTTTCCGTCCTTTTGATACGGGCACGAAACCGTACCAAATCCGAAATCACTTCCGGTCAGCTTTTATTTATCCTCGACTAGAAAGCCATCCCAGTCTTCTTTATTTTTTTTTTTTTCAAACCACTCGCACCTTGTCTGTTCCTTGTTCGAAGGGGTTACGAAACCTTTATGCCATACCTGGCAGCACAGATTCCATCGCGTTGGTTCCAATGCGAAGGAACTCGCGAGCCCGTCCACGGTGAAGGCGATCCGAGCACTAAACAGCGGCTAAAAGCTTCGCGAAGCTCCAGCCGTACGTGCCTGAAATGGAGAGGGCCCCGGTGCGTTATGCGTTAGATCGCCGGGTACCGACCACGAAATACCGAATTAACTGGTCATCGCGTGGAGAACGCGTGTTTCGCGTTTATGTACATAATGAGCAATTGCGTGGCGCGAATCGACGAAGCGCAGGGTAACCTTGCCGAGGTCTGGCCTTCATCAGCGCATCAACCCACGGCACCGCTTTTACCTATTTAAAAATATCAAACATGCTTAATCGTCTGACATGATAATTAATTAAAAAATGATCGAACGACTGCTTATATGTATATAATATTTTAATTATTATACTAAACGAGTGCGTTTTTATTCCAGGGTTTAATAATTAAGAGAAAGGGCCGTTAATCAACTTGTTCGAATTGTACTGAAAATTACAATCATTATCGAATTTCATTTGTTAAAATGGTTGAATCGTACGGTACGACTAATTTGCAATGATTTAACGAGAATCACGTGGAAACCGGGAAAATCGAAGCAAACTGGCAATTATGTATTTAACCGAAACATGAGGAAACGTCGTGATGCGTTTCGACTAATTTTAGCTAATTTGTACCGGGCCGGCGAACATTATTTCCATTTGATTATTCACGTGCGAGTTGCCACAGTTAACGATTATTATGACAATGGTGGGCGTTGATGATTGACAACCGAATCCGGGACAAACGAGCTTGCCCGTAAAATCGGTCGGGTTTCAAAGTCTTCTGTAGACCTGAAAGCGTGTGTACGAGCAAGCCAGAGAACAGCGATGGGAAGGGGAAAGCTTTCGGCTATAAATCTGTTGGCTGGCTTAATGCTCGCTCAGCCGGCATCCAACAAATTGTTTATACTCGTCGGTTGTTAATAACACTGCGGCAAGACTAAGGTAGACCGCGGGTAGTTACACGAAGAAAACGATCGTTTCTAAAAATAACAATTAAGATAACGCGACGCGATGGACCCGTTATTGCAACGTTGTATATCTTGATAACTCGTTTCGATTAGCTTTCTCAAATACGAAACAGTTATTATTTAATTATCTCGAATCTCAACCGCGATACAGGAAACCGCTCCTATTTGGCAAACATGGAACGGTCGTTGCAATCTAATATCAACGATTATTCTTAATTAGTGGCGCACTTGTCCTCTTCCGTTCGGGTTCTTTTTTTTTTTTTTCATTTAGTTCGGTTTCACACGCGTCGATGGAGTTTCCCTCTCTTTTTATACGCTTTAATTTACGAGCCTCGGTCAGCGTTGTTCGAATTTATCGAGCTATTTTTTACCTGGTCCCGGGCAGCGATAACTTTTTATGATACACGCCGCTGTACACGGTCACGAGGCCCATCTCCACTCGGCTGGCTTTTCGCTCGTTTCAATTAAAAACTAAAATTAAAAACTCGTTAGCCGAAACGGAACGGAACGACGTACCTGTGGGGGTCCTCCAGGGGATGCGGATCTGGCCTAGCTCGAGTATCGATTCGCGCGCCAGATGCTTTTTGATGTAACGCGCCACGCCGCTCGCCGCACCGCCGGCAAGTCGACAGGGAAATGCCGAACCGAACAAATTCCCGCTTATACACTCGTCGTGTAGGTTCACTGTTCGGCTCGCTGCTAATTAGAGTAATCATGTATTCATATCTGACCGACCGATTACTCCTCTTCCGACTAAAATACGAATTAAAAGAAAAACACGCTCGCTGAACGTATCCGATGGTCGTGATTGACGGCGCAACGTCAAATTAAAACGTTAATATTAATTTACAGAATTCGTGATGAATATGCGTTTAGTTGTTTCACTTGACACATACAATTTAGGCAATTTATTCGTGTGCATGCGTGTATTGATTACACGTATTGGTTTATTACTACTACTACTACTACTACTACTGCTTACTATTTTAATATTATTATCGTAACTAAAATTTGAATACATCGTATAAGTAAAACTGATTAATTTATTCGAGCAAACGGACGAATTGTGCTTGTGAAGGAAGAATCGATTCGACAGTTGCTTTATCGTAAGCTCGAAGATGCGAGGCCGTTAACATCAGGTGCGGCTCGTCGCCTTTACGTCGGGCCCATTAATAGTAATCAGCCATCGGATATACCAGTAAGCCGACGCTGCTTCTAATGACTAAGAAGCTACGCGCATCTAGATTACACGAGGATAATACCGTATTTGCTCGACGATAACCTGTTCCTGGGTGTGGCACACGCGATCATGGATATTACTCGCGGAGCGCGTGGAATCGACGGATCAACATTAGCCTGCGTTATTGTAGCGCGACGAGCGACTCATCGGTTCCAAGTTGCCTACGAAACGGTCTCTCATCGTTAACTTTATTAGACGGCATCTAGTAGTTCGTCGGTGGAATTTCGGTGCTGAGATGATTAACTACTCGGTGTCTCTAATTGATCGATGCGCGCAAGTTGTCGCCTGATGCTGATCGATCTCGAATCCGACGTAGCTTCTCCAGAACGTCGTCTGCCGGGAGTCGATTCGAGTTGGTGTCAATATCTGCACCAGGTAGCGTCGTCTGGCAATAAATAATCTAGCGGTTTCGCTTCCGAACCAATTATTCCAGATTGCATCTGGCGTAGTGCAAAGAGATTCCTCAGAAATTGTCAGGATTACGTTTAATAGTCGCTATACGCGTCGCAGACACCTTTGATTACAGGCAACCACGCGACTCTCGTTAAACGCAATTTGAACTTTGCAGCGCGAGTTGAACAAAGGACGTACAAATTTCGTTTATAAACTGCTTACCTATTTTATGGAAACATGTTTAAAGTGATCACACAAAATTATTTCCGCCCACTTTGACGACGACGTTGCCTGTCACTTTTTTTTCCATTGACCCTAGTAGCTTTCAACTCACACTGCCTGCATATGTATATCTTATTATTCCATCAAATTCCTGGGTATATGTTTTTATTATTTCGCGTTTTGCGAAAAATATTTTTCTGCTAATTAAGTACTTATATTGCTCCCGTTTGGGATCGTTGTTCATGAACTCCAGAATGCATGGCAGAGTAAGGGTAAGCTCTTATATATAAATATTTACTCGATACGTTAGCTTTGAATCCTTCGACGTGGAAAAGCCTGGCTTCATGAACGTGACGCTACTGTACATATATACGTAGGTGAGGCACGATCAAAAGTTTCGATGCGCCTCTATCGATCCGGAATTGTGCGCTACGGCAAGCAATTTTTGATGTCTAGCAGCATCATGGAAAAGAGAAATCTACTGGAAAAAAAAAACGCTTAGGTACCGCGATTACATTCATCCCGAGGACCATCGCCGTTAGTTGCTGCGACGTTAATTCAGTTCCGAAATCACACTCGACGGCTGAGTTTCTGCTGTCGAGCCGGAGTTGAACTTGCGCGATTGCTTCAGGGAACGCGGGACGTACATATACACCCGTCGCAAAGAATTAGGGCCGTGATCGCGGCGAGCGCTGTTGTACGTTAAACAATTACATCGTTCTCCGAGATTACATTAATTTCGCGAGTGCCCGGGAATCCAGTTAACTCCGAACTATGCAAAACTGCAAACAAACAGGCAGGCAAACAACGGATGGGGACTGGCTGTTTCATTCAACGCTTTCGCGAACCATTTCCTTCGGTGCAATGCGAAGTATCTGCTACCGTCCTTTTAGCATATTACCGTTCTTTTTTCGTTCGACTATTTTTATATTGATGTACACTCCTGTTCATTTTAGAACATAATGTAAAACGTACAATCAGATGAAATGTTATAGGAGCATGAACGAACAAATGAAAACTTGTAATATTTTAATAAACTATGTTTCTTATTAAATTCTTTAGAAATGTTTAATATTTTGCCCTAATGGATATATTGCAATATTATAATTTATAATATTTCAACTAATCTAATCAGTAGATTATTTATCAATACATATTTTTTCATAACAAATTCTAAAAGATGGACGTGATTTATTTAACAATTTAGTACAATCAATTACTGTTTAATACAGTTGAAAGAAAACTTGAGTGGGAGAAAATTACCAAAGCGGGAAAAGACGAGATAACAAAGAGAGGCAGCGACACGTTTGAAATGTATGTGTACCTACACACAGACGAGAGATATACGAGCGAGGAGGGTGGAGGAATGGGGGAATAAAGGTAAGATAGAGATAGGGATAGGATGTAGGAGGGTTAACAACGTGATCACGGTTCAAGCACTCCCACAGGATCGCAGCATCAGCTAGCCTAGCCCGCCGCCACACTTTCTCGACCCTTTCTCTCCTGAGGCGCAACCGTTCCTGAATGCGCTCGCGGAAGATAGACGCCATCGGGTTTGTGTGCGTGTGCAAGTAACGCACGTAACTACGGATAAATGCCTGTACAGGAATACTTTGCCCTCTGTGCGAGTGTCGCAAATTTAGATACGCACGAACCGAGGTCGTTTATACGTGCATTCGTAACGCGATACGTGTTTAACTGCGTTAGTTAAAGAGACGCGACAGTTGCGATTCGGTGAATCTTTTGGGAACGTTGAGAGCGACTATTAAATTTCAACGGGAACTGCGAATGAGTTTGACAAAAGCAGATGCTCGTTATGTACGCGTACATATTTGTATGCCGTGTTTAATTTACAGTAACTGCAGCCAAACTCAACGGTTCGACGACTCATTAATTCTTAATGCTGCTGGGAACGCCGGGCGCCGCGTTCAACTTCTTTTAAGCCTACCTGTTGCGCCCTCCACGACGCGACCCTTTCGCCGACTTCCCTGATAAATATATTCGATACCCCATCATAATTAGCTGGCTGCAAAGCGAACCTCGCGGGATCAGACGCTCGGTGATTACAGATAGACCCGTACTGAACACGCCGTTCACAAGCGGCGGGTCGTATTAAATTAATACAAATAACAGGGCGAGGCTCGTGTAACCCCTTCTATAG